GAGCATCTGGGAACCATATGTCCTGGTCTTCCAGTCTTCAAAAATCCATTAGAATCTTTACCTCACCTATTTCTTTGGTACATTCCTGAGACCTCAGAATAATGCCTGTGAAATCTTCATGTAAAAGGCTTTGAATAAATTAATGCTTAATATATGTAGTATAAGCAACATGCATATAGGCTGACTACTTAAAAAGAAGTTTCAGGAAGAATTTGCTTAAATTCATGGATAAATAACTGGCTCACAAGAAGGAATAAAGCATATTCAAGGTACATACTTAACCCTTTGACATCAACATTAACCACCATGTTCCGTCAATAAAGTATCTGCTGGTCCACTGTCAGAGGCATAATACTGGAGTGGAAAGACCATTTATGTGATCCAATATAGCTTTTATTTTTTATACATATTAAAAGTGGATTGTTCCTCTTTGGAAAATTATTCATAAGAAGATATTTGGGTGAAAATTCAACACAAACATTGTCTTGGTGATATTATATGGTTACAAATTTTATAATACCACAATCACTGAAGAGGCAAAAGCTGTGGATTAGGCAATATAGAGATGCAGAGTGCTTATAAATAGGTTGTAGCATAAGAAGAAACATTTAGGACATTTATGATTGGAAAAGGAGATGAGCCATCATATACAGAGATCAAAGAATAACAGCTGGACAGACAAAATGCTACAGTGGTCCCCATGAAATGTAAAAAGACCTAGAAGTCTCCACCTCATTAAGTAGAGCATACACAATAATAATGATATCCAATAATATAGCTAGCATTTATATAGTGCTTTAAGATCTGCAAGGCACTTTACAGATATTGCCTCATTTGATCCTCATAATCACCCAAGGAGGAAGATGCTATTATTTTCCCCATTTTAAAGATGAGCAACCTGAGACAGAGACAAACTAATTTGCCTAGAACCACAAAGTTATTAGTAAATAGCTGACATATTTGAAATCAAGTCGTCCTTACTCCAAGTCTAACACATTATTCACTGAGTGATCTAGCTGTCACAAGAATCACATAGAAAAACAGACATGGACAAGCACCACTTGTATTCACATCAATAAGATCATAAATCATTGCAAAATCAAGCATTTTAAGCTATTATCATCTCAACTTCTGTTCTTGTTGCATATTACCCAATAGCTAATTGAACTTAATATCCCCTGCTGCAATATGGTTAGTGTTTAGTACAAACTAGCAAAGTAAGTTTCAAAATTTATTTTACTAAACACTTCCTTCAGATTAAACAATAATTAGATTATTTTTGTCATTTGTATATCAATAAAATCACAATCACAATAGCTTAAAATTATATAATGTTTTACAGATATTTCTTTCACAGTAGTACTGAGAGATAGGTCATACAGGTATTATCATTACCTTTTTTTTTTACAAATGAAGAAACTGAAGCACAATGAAGCCATGGTTACATGGCTACTAAGAGGCATGTAACTTGACATACTTAAACATAGGTCTTCTAAATCCAAGTCCATTACTTCTTCTACTATACCAACAATCCTTATTTTCCAAGTTATCCATGTATTATATTTAGTAGATACTCTGTGAAATTTATAAGCTAGGTGAGAGGGCCACATTCTCTCCAGGCCTGACCACATGGCACTGTTAAAAATACAAGGTGAATGTGTAGCCCTTAGTCATATAACGGAAAGCTGGAATGAGGATATAAGTAGTACCATACTAAGGTATTAGCTTTCAAAGACCTGTAACATGTAAAATGGTATAAATTAGGCACTAGAACCCTATCCACTTCGAATGACTAAATACATTACTGCTGGCCTTTGGGTGATATGATAAATCCAAATAGGCCAGTGCTGAGAAAAGGTATAGTTTTCACCTGCTAGATTCCTCCCTAACATATGGACTGCTACTGATCTAGGCATGAGGAATGAGGAGGGGGGAGGGAACTATAAACCTGAACTGATTAATGCATTATATATTATTAAGTGATTACATTTATACTTGTTATCTGAGGAAAGAGGATTGGGTTTTGTTTTTGGTTTTTGTTCTTTGGTGGGGTTTTTTGCCATTTGCCTTGTTGATTCAATCTCATCAAATTCCAACCCTGACCAATGTGTACCTAGTCTGAAACACTAGACAAAAAGGAAGGATATAATTTATTGCATCTATAGGAATAGCCAGTTCAGTATCATTTCATTGTTTTCTCAGTCATTTGAAATATTTTGCTTCTAAAAGCCCTAGGGATAATAGTCTTTTCCAAAAGGTAAAATATTAATATATTCTATGGGCTATATGAAATTTTAAAGTTTAAATATAAAATATATGTAATCAATAGGAAAAAAAAGGTTCTTTATTGGCACCTCCCTTGCATCACATAGTCATTATTTGTCAGAGGAAGGAACTGAACCTAGGTCTTTTTGATCCAAGGAGGTCAGCCCCACTTTGCCTTTTAATTTAAGATTTAAAATCTTTGCCATATGACATTTATAAATAAAAAGGTAATCATGAAATAGCTGCAAAATTTTCACAATTAGCACTTATGCATTTTTTTTAACATGGAGTTAATATTAACTCTGGAGAATATAGAATTAGTAGCATACTGAAGAAGTTGATCCTACAACGGGTGCTAATATTTTCTTTAGTAATCTGATGGTATAACATAGGGGTTCTAAATAATTTTTGGCATGAATCTTGTTGGCAGTCTGATGAAACCTGTGGACCTCAGATTAACTTTTTTAAAAGTATAAAATAAAATATATAGGATTATAAGGTAAACCAATTATACTGAAATACAATTATTAAAATATTAAAAAAAAAGTAAGCTCATGGAACGGTGGTTAAGATCACCTGGTATGGGGCAATGCTTATTAATTGGACTATAGGAATAATATAATAAATGTTTTTTTTAATTCATTCATTCACATAAGAGCAAGTTGAAAATCAAATGAGGTCATGTGGGAAAAGAGTAGAAACTATTCATCAAAATCTTTTAAATTTCCCTACTGAATTATGATTCTGTGTTTGGGTTACTACATGAGACCATTTATGATCCCCACAGCTGCCAGTACCTCTTCTATACCTAGAGAATCATACTTATGACTTCCGTTTCTGGGAGCCAAGATGGCGGAGTAAAAAGGTAGTCACTCTCACCCTCCCCTATCAACTCTGAAAACCCAGAAAATATCACCCCTGAAAAAAAACAAACAAACAAACCCTGAAACAGCTGAACTAGAAAAAGATGGGAAACAGCAGTACAGCTGCCCAGCAAATGGGGATCCCAGTGCCTCAGCAAAAATAAGGGAAGCAGCACTACAAAGGACCCCAGGCGGATAAGCACCCTGCAGCATTCATCTGAAAGGAGCTGAAGAAAGCAACATAGAGTCTTCCTAGAGTCCCAGCCTTGCTGATTCCAACCCAATACCAGGTAAGCTGTCAGAACCCTAAAGCCTCCAACTGTCACCCAGGAAGAGATCCTGAAGCCCAGGTGGTAGAGCAGGCAAACACCAATACCTGGACCTCCAAGTGCCTCAGTGAGGGTGGGGGAACTGGTGGAAACCAGCTCAGAAAACCACTAGGTGCCTTGGCACTCTACCACAAAGGAATTTCCCAGTGCATTAGCAGAAATGAGGGAGGCAGCATTGCAAGGGGCACCAGGCAGATAAACACCCTGCAGCACCCATCTAAAAGGAGCTGAAGAAAGCTAAAGGAAAGGAAAACCAGGCAACCTAGAATTGCCTGAAAGTTCCAACCTTGCTGATTCCAGCTCAACACGAGGTAAGCTGCCAGAACCCTACAGCCTACAAGTGCCAACATAAGAGGCCCCAGCACACAAAGCCAGTGACCAAGACCTAGGCTCCCAACACAAGAGGCTTGGGTCAGTGCCCTGTTTCCCAGCAGGAGAGCTCAATTTCTTTAAAGGCCAGGGAATAAAAAAACCATGAGTAAAAATAGAATCGTGCTCATGTATGTTGTGTGTGTGTGTGTGTGTGTGTGTGTGTGTGTGTGTGTGTGTATATACACTCACGTGTTGTCTCTCCTAATAGACTCAAGTTTCTTAAGGGCAGGAACTGTTTAAGTTTTGTCTTTTGTATCCTCAGTGCCTAGCACAATTGCTTTGAACAAAGTTGTCACTTCATTATTACTCCTTTATTAATTTATTTACATATATACATTGCTTAAGAGGAAGCATGCCTTAGTGGATAAAGTGCTAGACTTGAGAGTCAGACCATGATTCAAGTCCCATTTCTAATATGTACCAACTATGTGACACTGGGCAAGTTATTTAACCTATCAGAGCCTCAGTCTTTATCTAGTCTACAAAGTCATAGAAGGGGTTACAGATTGTGTTTGTGGAGAGAGTTCATAATGATGATAAAATCACAGGTCATAACAATAATTAAATTATGTATAATTCAATATAAATAATATATACATATACACGCATTATATAAATTATGTACAATTTTGGCTGCCCCAAATTATTTAAATATTCTACACCAAAAGACTAGTCATGTATCTTAACCAAAAAATAAAAAGCCTTTTAACAAATTAAAACACACATACACATATATATGTATGTATATGTATATGTACATATATATCCAATGGACTACCAATAAATATTAAAGAAGTACAGGAAGCTCTCCTGTATTTTGGGGAGCTCTTTTATGCCTTGTGTGATTACCTGGGCAAGAATCACACAGTTTGAGAATGCACAGTGTGTTGTAATTCACACTGGCAGAGGGAGTACACACATCAATGTAGCCACAGATCTATTGAAGTATTGAATATATCTAATGAATATTTAATAACAGTAGTTTTTAAGCAATTAAATATCATTTAAAGTGTGTGTTTGCATATAATAATTGTAACTGAATTACTTTCATGTAGAATTTTGGATATGACTGATATTTAGAAACAAACAATTCTGATTTTTAAACCCATTTGTGTTTTAATATTTTTGCACTTGTTTTCAGAAATATTTTATTTTTTCCTCTTGTCCCTACCTTCTGTCTGGAAGAAAGTAAATTTTAACATAAGGATTCCGTGGTCTCCCATCTTCCCTGGAAGGGAGATCTTTTGCTCCCAAAATTGTAACTATCAATTGATGACCAACTTTGTCATACCATAGTTTTATCTGAAAAGGAAAAAAAAAATATTAATTCATCCTTATTTCTAGTAGGATGGCATAATGTTTATAACCCCACCCACTAAGTTTTCTTTCCCGCTCCACCAACTTATTTTTGGATTAGCACAGAATTCAAATTGTACTATTCCATTTAGCAAATTATGTTGGAGAAGATGAAAGGATATGCTATAATAACTTCAATGTACTAAAACTGTCGATTTGGATATATTAAAAAGAATAATTTATTTTAAAGTCTATGCAGATTATTTAGAATTTTGTTTGTAGGATACATTTAGAATATACTTAGAATTCTGTTTAAACACTTTTTGTATAACTTTAAACAATTTTACCATGACCAAAGGTAAAATTTATCTAAATTGTGCCACGTCATAGCTCAGAAGTAGCAAAAAAGATGTTTCTTCATTCTACATTGGTAACCTGTTCACATAGTTCAAAAGGAATTTTTAGAAGTATTTAGGGTTATTACATAGAAGACAATTCCAAGATTTAAAAGGAGGCTAAGTAGCAGTTTCATACAATGAACACTATTAATCTGTCAGACCCTAAAATTATAGTATAGTTCTTCAGGACGTAAATTTCATTTTAGTTGAAAAGCCTTGTTACTTGGAAAATAGATTTGTCACTGATTTAGAATGCTACACGAATATTTCTATCATTTCAGATGAGGAACCTTGACATAATCTCATAAGTACAAGGTCAGGAACCAGCAACTTATTATCTACTGATGAATCCATTTGTATTGACAGTGATAAACTAGCCTTCAGCTATTTGAATCTAGTCCAGCACTAGGGGTCATGAGTGAAAAAAGTTTAAGAAGTCCCTAGTCCACGAGTTATGGTAGCAAAAATCAAATCCAGGTTTTGACTCAAAACTATACTCTACTTTTGTCCCTATCTCAGAAACTCAGAGTGAACCAGAATTTGGGGAGAAGGGAAGTGACCTAGGGAGCAAGAAGTAATGTCATATGTCATTCATTGGCATCTGTTCTCCCTAGCCTAAGTTTGGCTCTACATATGGCTCCAAAAGACCTAGAAAATTAGGGCAGGCATTTGTAATTATTAATAAAGAATAGTGCTTGCCCAGCCTAAATAGGGGACTCTGTTCCCATATTTATTTTTTACTTCTACTCCTCATGGGATTAACTTTGCTTTTGAAACAATGAAAAGAACCAGTCTTAAATGTTTAAAAAGTTGCTGGACTCTAACCGTTATCATGCATTAGGCCCTCATATGGTAGTAGTAACAAGGGTTGAACTGCAGTAAAACAAATGCTGACCCAAGTCTAAAAAAATCTAAGATAGAATGTTAAATTTAAAAGTAATTTTGTCTTTATGACAGATCAGAAATATATAGATGTATGTATAGATGAATATTCAGAAGCAAATACATAGGGAAAAAGACCCACAAAGATGCTTCTGTTTCTTCCTGACAGTAAAGAAGTAAAATAGGCTTTCATCTTTCTATCTAAATAAAATTATCATTCCTGTCTTATGTTGACAAATCCAATTTAATGATGTGATACGTTCTTCTAAATTAAACATAGAAATATTGGGAAACAAGACTTTCCCCATCTCCAATGATATTCAGATCATATTATTAAAGCCTTTTGTTTTGGTTTTTCTGACTACTGTGCTAAGTGTACTTAGTACATTAATACTGCAAAAACTAGATATAAACATTTCAAATTAATCTGAAACTTCCAGCTGAAGAAATAAAACCTTAAACTGAAAAAACCCCATTATCAATAGACAATTTAATCATTTTAAGACTTTTTTTGAGCTGAGACTCTAGCCCTTGAAATACTGTAAACATGTTACTTTTGCCTCCTTTAAAATCCTTAGCAGCTAGGAATTTTAAAATATATTTCAATTATTTTCAATTATTTAAAATATACTTCAACATAATAAAATATATTTTATGTGAATAAAAATATCATATGTATCCAAATTTAAATATATATCACTTTCTTGTACATTTTCATGTATGAAATGATAATTTTTCATACCATTATTAGAATTTTATTAAAACAGGAATTGTGTGTTTGATCTTTAAATTTGTTTAAAGATACTTTCACATTTAATGAATTCAATTCATCAAATCAATTATTTTTAAAAATAAACTTTAATATGAAACTATATTCTTATTTCACAAATAATGTAATTATATTAACATCACAATTTTCTAAAATTGTGTGATGGAGGTTTTTTAATTGTATAATGAAGCATTTGCATTGAAGTTTTAATAGCTATCCAGCTTGCATTAGCAAGATGATAAAATTTTAATGTTTATATTATTTAGCTTACACTTAAATTTTGAGTCTGTGCTTCTTAATAATGTATTAAAATAGTTTGTTGCTTTCAAAAAAAAATAAACCAACATGTCATCTTAATGAGTTTTAACACTTGACAAATTTATTTGTTCTTGGTTTTTTAACCAAGAATTTTGATAATTTTAATATGACCTTTTAAAAATTTCTGTAGAATCATCATCTTAGCTTAATCACAATAACATTTTAAAATATTTTAGGTAGGGCCTGCACAACAGGAGTAACATCTAGTTTAATACAAATAAGGAATTATTTAATAAGTAAAATATTTTAATAAAAATAGTATTCAAAACAAAAAAAAAACCATGCAGCAAAGCAAGATAAGCACTGACATATTAGTAAAACCTACATTTGAGTTAATCTACTACTTAATTGTTTCCTAATGAAAAGAGGCAAATAATGTGTACCCAAATGTTACCAAAAAAAAATTATCAATGACAGATAACAAAAATGTGCTTTAAATTATGTTATATTTTTAGTATTTGAACATTTAATGCATGCCCCATAAATAATGAGCAAAATTCATATTTTTGATTAAGGTACAAATTTATTTGCCAGTCTTCTACTCAAGGAGCTATTAATTGGAAAATGCAAAAAAGGATATAGTACTAATGTAAATACTAATGAATGATTTAAAGAGACAGCAACCTTAGTGTAATAAGGTCAAAAATGAACAGCCCAAAATAAGCTTATTTCTTTTACTGTATTAATGTGTGTACATAATATGTGTGTATCCCTCTTGAACCCGTTTAAATACAAAATACATCATAAACTCAGTAACAGAACTTAAAGCCGGTTGTCTCTTTAAATTAAATTCAATATTTCAACCCCCATGCAGAACTTTACAAGCTGCTCAGTAGGTATGGGTTAAAGCAACATACCAAAACAATGACATTTTCCTACAATGCATTTTCCAAAAATTAACAAATAAATAAACTTTTAAGCACAACTTCAGTTTCTGTCAGGCAGACAAGGCCTTTACCTGAACCCTAGGAACAAAAGGCGTTGTTCTTCTACTAAGGCTTTGGCTCTGGTAAGCAAAATTAAAGAAAAAAGCAATAAAACAAAACCAAAAAAGACAATACGCTGGAACTAAAAGACCAAAAGTAAAAACCAACACACACAACTATAACCTTAAAAATAATTTTCACCGTTAAAAGATATATTTAAATTTAAATATTCTAATGGAATGTCTAAATTAAATTTGCCAAAAATGCTAGTATATAACAAATGTAATTTACTTGAAATAGATTTAAAAATTACATTCAAAAAAGTAACATGAAATAAAAGTGAATGAGAAATAACATTCAGGTGTGAATCTTCTGAAGCTAGAGTTCCAAATGCATCATAAAAGCTAAGCCTTAGAAATCAAATATAAAGAAATTCAAAATTTAACCTTTAGATGAACTAAACAGAAGAAATCATTGACAAAACTGGAGAACCATAGGCAAAACTGAAGAAAAACTGGATGGAAAATGGGTAATAAATATATTAGTAAAAGCAATCCATGATAGCCATTGTTTCAGAATGAGTCATACCTAAAAATTAAGTATTAATAGAATTATCAAAGGCTATAAGATAAAAGTGTGTCTATAATTCAATTTTATCAGTGAGTTTTATTAAATTATTCTTATCCCCATCAGCTTCCAGTCTGAAAATCATCTTAAACATTTTTATTTTACCACTATGCATCTAAAAGGAAATAATTGCTAACATTCAGACTAGATAAGCCTTTTATATATTTACAATCTTTGAGTGCTTATCATATGATGGCAAAATTTTTTTAAATCTATTATTTCCTTTGAGTGTTATGACAATTCCAAAAAGTTGTGGATATTAAGCAGTATCCCCATTTTATACATGAAAAAATCAAAGGCCCAGAGAAAGTATATAACTTGCCAATAGTCACACATTAAATTGGTAGCATAGCCAGGAATAGAAAATTCAGGGGGCCTAACTTCTACCCTGATGTTCATTCAACTACACCATTCTGAGGATGAATAAAAAAAATGTTTTATCCATATAATTTCCACTTCTTTTGCTATTTATTTACTTTGAAACAAGTAATAGTAGACATTGTCTAACCAGAATATATGTACTTTTTCCTGGCCAAAATAAAGAAATAAACCACTCATTTATACTCAGTAGGGCTGAAGGAGAGTTAATGAGCATTTAGTCTATTATTTTTATTCAGCAGCTCCTGATTCAACTTTCAACCATTTCATGTTTCTCTCCCATTTTCCCATATACAAAGTTAAATACTATTAGCACCTTCAACCTGAGGGCAGAGAGGAGCAATGTTCTTCCAGAGAAGAAGAAGTAATTGAGTGGTTCTTCTCCCCTTAAAGCAAAGGTGTTTAAGCCCTAAACAGAAAAATAAAACTGGGAATGTGAAAAGAAAGGAAGTCCTGAAAAAATAATCACAATCAATCTCTCTCTCTCTCTCCTCCCTCTCTCTTACATGCAGTCTCCCTCTGAGTAAGCAATATTCCATTTTAAGTATGGAGTAGTAAAAGAATTGAGAAATGTTAAGAGCTTTAGAATACAATTAACTGTTAATAATCTCAGTGTTACTCTCAGTAGATCACTGTTATTACTTTAGTAACTAGAGATGAACCACAAAGTTTTAATAAAACTTTCTGAGGAAGTGACAGAATAGGAGATAAACTGAAATAATGTTCCCTTCTTATATACATATCTAGAGTTAAGAGACCTCAGAGGTCATCTAATCCAACCCCTCATTTTACATAATAAGAAACTGAGGAGGACCAGTTTAGATTTGCACAAGATGTAGGTAATAATTAAATATCAGAGGAGGATATGTTGTCTTAACGTCTCCTCTAACTCTCGCAGTTTACCACAAAAATAACAAAGAATATTAGAGGTAGGGAGGCTATGCAAGTAAATCTCTTAATACTTTAAAAAAGAAACCAAAAATACTTTAATACTTTAAAAAGAAACTAAAAATACCTTAAAAAGAAACTCATTAAATATACCAGTCTCTTCTACTAACTTCAAAAAAGTAGAAGTAGTATGAGCTCTTCATTAGCACATATAGCTTTCTGAAGTCTACCTACTAATATCTTCTGAAACATACATTTATTTGAAACTAATTACTTATACAGTGTTAAATATGTATATGACGTAGTATTTTAATAATGGAAAACACAAGAAAAGTGAGATACTAAGTGACCTATTGTCATTTACATAAGTTGATCTCTTTTAGGCATGTTGGGCATGATCTTTTGATTGCTACAAATATAGAATTTGAGTTTGTATGCTTCCGTTATTTTCCACTTTTTAAGGTCATTTCCTACTACTCACTGTAGTATTGCACCCAGGACATTCATGCACCATTGTTGAAATAACCAGGAATTAAACAAATAGATTCAAAGTTCAATGACAACTTTGGTTTAAAAAAAAAGAGAGAGAATTGTAAGAGAGTGAGGACATATTCTCCAATCAGGTATGTCCTTTGAAAAGATGCATACAAATAGATAAGTATAAACAAAGAATGAGAAATGACAGAAAATTTTCTAAAGCAAAACACTTGGGCAAAAAAATAATAATAATGAATCAACCACAGACAATGAAGTATTATCTTCAGTAAATATGAGTTTTGGTCTGCCTATTCTAGTACAAAATCAAAGTTTCTATGTATTTTCTCAAATTTGAAAAATATAAAAAGATTATATTTCACTTTAATACAATCTAAAAACTAACATTCATCTATTTATGTGGTCTAAAGTTCTAAAATGGCACTTTCTTACAGAGAAAAGAGCTTATATTCAGAAACACAAAAAGAAACAAAAATAAGGAAACACAAAGAAAAATTAGCAAAAAAAATTATTTCCGTAAGTGAATGTGTTAACATTTAATTTAGCTGGTATTCACTGGTCCTTTAGGGACTTAAATACTAATTGAAGATAAAAACATTCTGTGTTTTGTTTTGTTCTGTTTCCCTTTAGAAGATAAATAGCAATCAGTGAACTCGGTATAAACTGGTGTTAGGTTAATAAGGGTACAAGATGAAAGAATAGCCTCTGTCTAAATGCAAAATATAGTTATAACCTTACAGGTTTAATATGGTCTTTAGTTAAATGTCACTGATAAGGAGGTGTAGCCTGAGGAGGATTAGAAGTGAAGGGAGTTTCTTTTGTAATGGTGACATACTATATATGCATATTTCACCTGTCTAATAAACTCCCCTTCTCTCAGCCTATGCATAGCTAGTTAGAATAATGCTATTGGTCTAAGCTTCCTGGAAAAGAAAATATTGGAGTTAGGATGAGAGAAGTTTTTATTCCTCTTTATCCAGGTAAACATATTGCTAGAGTCCTCTTGGATGCAAAAGGCAGACTCAGACTAATTTCAGAAACATTCATAGTTAGAAGGAAGATGACTAGTATAACTAATACAGACTTGAATACAGAACATACTGCTTTCAAATCATAAGGACATGATACTGACACTCACTGTCAGACTAAGATCCCATGGCTTTGAAGCCAACTTTTAAGATAACTCTGAGGAAATAAATCTGAAACATCTACATTTAAGGAAGGTTAAATATAGCTTTATACGTCTTCCAATCTTATCTTTTTTGATTTATAGTCATGTTCCAAGGAAGTTTGAATTATACCACTGGACCTGAACATTCCAGTGAATTATTAAAATGTCATTTACTTCATATTCTACCAAGGATAGGGAATAGTTTATTCACCGGCCTGACTAAGTCTCTTTTAAAGATCAGGAATTTAAAAGTGTTGCATTTTTAAATATGGGGAATTGGATATGGTCACAGAAGGTGGGACAATCACATGCAGTTGTCTATGAGGTAGTTGAAGGCACAGTGGATACAGGCCTAGGCTTAGAATCAACAGGAAGAACTGAGTCCAAATCCAGCCTCAAATACTTACTAGTTGTGTGACCTGGGCAAGTCACTTAACCACTGTTTTCCTCAACTATAAAACTGGGATAATAGTAACACCTATCTTGCAGTATTTTTGTGAGGATCAAATAAGATCATATTTGTAAAATAATACTTGGCACAGTGCTTGGCCCATAATACCTACTATATAAATGCTTATTCTCTTTCCTTCTTTCCCCCACCCCCAATCTGCTATTGTGACTATATCTATGCTTCTATTTTGCCAGATTACATTTGAAAATAATTAGATATGGCTTATAAAGGAAAATAGGATATGCACCATTACTATGAAAAAGAAAGAGGGCATTTTATTTATAGAAGAAAATAATAGAGAGAATGAGGGGGAGACATAACAATATTAGCAAGAATCCATCTCCTTTTTGAAATAATGTTATTGAAATAATCTTAGCTGATGCCAACATATTAGACCACAAATCAACCTGTCAAAATTATTTTTCATTAAATTATTTGATTTTTATAGTATTGTTTCTATACTTTATACTTGTACTTTTTATACTTCCCCACAAATTAATTAAAATTCCAGAGAAAAGACCAGGGACTCCAAACAAAAAGAACTTTTTTTCATTTTATATAATTCATGAGTGCTATTTTATTTTATTTTATTTTATTTTTGGCTAGGCAATGGGGTTAAGCGACTTGCCCAGGGTCACACAACTAGTAAGTGTTATGTGTCTGAGGCTGGAACTCAGGTCCTCCTGACTCCAGAGTCAGTGCTCTATCCATTGCTCCACCTAGCTGCCCCTGAGTGCTATTTTAAAAAGCAGAAAGACTAAATTTTACTTCATTAGGCCTTTCATAAGTATTAAAAAACAAAATAGCAGTATTTCTCTTAAAAAACATATGAGTATTTTACTGAAAACATTATACCATTTAATGTCTGAATTTTGAGAATTTAAGTTGAATTTTGATCTCTAATAGTTCAAAACAGTCAAAAAGTCATTACAGGTATCTTTAAACTCTACATTTCTAAAAATAATGCTCTTAAAATAGTATAAATAATATTGATATAAGCAACTAAAATATATGGGATCATACTTTCAAAGGTTTTCTTCATTGGAAATAAAAGTGCACATCTGAATTTTGCATTTTTTTACAATTCAGAGGTATCATGTAATATGATATGTTAGAAATATGTAATATCATGAACATATACCATGGAATCAGTCATATATTAAAAACTTTCCCCATTCATCCCTATGCTTCATTAGTTGGGGAAATAGTCTAAAATTCCTTTAAAAATACTGTTTTAGAGATAGATAACCTACTGATAGCCTAAAAATTCATATAAGTTTTTTTAGAAATGAAAAAGGAAGAATGTACATAACAGATTCCTTTAGCTTAAACAATGCCTGTATACCATATAAAATTTTACCTCCTTTATATATCTGAGGATGAGATTTGGCTACCATGGAACAGAGAACAAAAGACCATGACCCTGCATGTTATGACAGTAGGAGAAAAAAGGCTTAATCACAGAAAAAGAAAAGATAGCACTCTTTAAATTTCAGAGAATCTAGGTTAAATAAAGATACCTTTTCATTTGAACCAAGAAATGGGAATAGGGGGAAGTGCAGTGCCCTTTAAATGAAAACCTAAAGTTGTATTCACAAAAAAAAAAAATCATATTTTAGCCAGAACCTGTTCTGCTACAAACTAGTATCATATTTAAGAGTATTAGTATTTCAGAAAGCAAGAAAAAATTATTTCAGTGACTACATACTGAAAGTTGTCCAGACAAGAATTGTGGAACATCCCTCAACATTCCAGGACTCATGGGAGAAGTAACAGAAATGGAAGGGCGATCCATTTTTTGAGATTCAAATGAGCTAGAGCCTGAAATGATAATTTTGCATTTAGAGTAGAAACAGCAATTTTTCATTTATATTTAACAGTGCAACTTTGAAATTATAATTTCATACAAAATGCCTAAGTTACAGTGTTTTAAAGGTTGTGACATTTTCAAAGTTCACTATTATAATGGGAATCTCAGAACCAACAATTCCACTTAGACTGTGCTGTGTAGCCCCATTACCTTAGAGCTTTAGGGATTCCCTGCTGCTGTCTCAGGAGCATTCAATTAGAAAGCATTTGCTGAGGCCTTATCATATTGTGTCAAATAGAACATGAACACATGAGAATATTTCTACCATAACAAAACAGTGTTAATTCAATCCACTTGGCAGGTCACTTAACCACACAGTGCCCTAAGCACCTCTCTAAAACTCAAACAATTTAGGATCATAGATCTAAAATTAGGAGGAACCTGAGAGGCCATCGTATCCAAACTCCCCATTTTTCAGATGAGTAAACAGAAGCTTAGGGAGTTTAAGTGACTTGCCAAAGGTTACATATGTAATAAGCATCAGAGACAAGATTTGAACCAAGATCTTCTGACTCAGCAGGTATGCTTTTTCCTAGTTACCACAATGCATTAGTAGAGGTTCTAACACTGATTTCCTCACATTGATGAATATCACAGGTCTGGCGAAAATAAATATTGATTAAATTATCTGTCAGTTTGCTTTAAGAATTTATTTTAAGTATTGAGTATTCTTTCTTCTTCAAACACCATTACCAAACTGTGCAATCTAATCACGCACTATTTGCAAAATATTTGCAGTGCAAGTTTTATTGCTTAAGTATTTAAATTTGAAAAGTAGAAACCTGATATTTTGAAGGGCAGCACAGTGGATAGACCACTGGGGCCTGGAGTCAGAAAAACCTGAGTTCAAATGCAGCCTCAGAAACTTACTTAGCTTGTGTAACCCTAGCAAATCATTTAACTCTGTTTGCCTCAGTTTTCTCATCTGTAAAATGAACTGGAGAAGGAAATGTCAAATTACTACAGTATCTTTGCCAGGAAAACCACAAATGGGGTCACAAAGAGTGAGACATGACTGAAACAAGTGAACAACAACATATTTAAAGGTAAAATTAATCATTAAAAATTTTTTTTCTTGTTCTCCACCATGGCACAATATTTTTTTGTGTGATTATATTGACTTGTACTAAGTTGTCACATTGTACAATTATACAAATAGAGAAAATTATCGGATTAATTTATTATGAAATCCATTATATTCTCATTTAAAAAAATGAAACTTACTAGACTCCAGTTGTGCATGTGTACTATCAGGGATTCTGGGGATGTCTCTAAAAGAATGAAAAAGAGAAAATAGGAAACTTCTTCCAACATTGGTACAAGTAATATCTTGGCCATTAATAGGGTACTTAACTCTACAATTAAATTATTAAATAGTTTGAGGACTCGTAAATTTATAAATTTGTATATTCATGGTCAGGAGTTTATCATCTTTCTCAAAAGGTTCAATAAATATCAAATAAGTAGTCCTATTTTTGTCCTTTAGAGATGTACTACCACTAGTTCAATTACTCCAACAACATCTAAAGCCTATTTAGTACAATTCATTAAGAACATATAAAATTCTTTTAATGAATTAAGCCATACATATAGATATTTAAACATGATGCTCACTTTGGACTGGCAACTATATAAGAGTGTGTGTGTGTGTGTGTGTGTGTGTGTGTGTGTGTATGTATATATTGCCAGTAATATGTGTTCCATTTGAAAAGTTCCCCATCTCCTGGTGAGCAAAAAAAAATTAAGGATATTTTTGCTTGAGCCTGGATAGATGTTAGGTCAAGTAATTTAATGAACCATGTAATAAACCTCAAGTCAGTTTTAGCTATCTACAACAATGTGAATAAATATTCTAAACTATTAAACAAAAATATAAAAATGACAGAAATTTTTATGCGAAAATAATGCCATAGGGTAGCCCCCTTAAAGACTGGAAGTTCAAACCTCAAATTGTTCACTTGACTAAAGCATATCAGAGGTTAGCAAAGTAGGACAAAATGGGTAAAGTTTCCTCAATGAGTTGTATTGTAAGACATACCTCAGTGAAAGTGATTATTTTTATTCAGGGTTCAGGTCAGGTAAAACTCTAATGTTTAAAGAATGCATGGGAACAGGGTTTTAACCTTGAAATGATTTTTTAAAATTCTACCCTGAATCTTACATTCCCCTTGTATTTAATAATACTGATTAGTTATATATTATTTCTCTTCACACAGTAGCTAATATGTGCCTGTTGAATGGGAAAATAATTATAGTTTACTTTTTATGTAAGTTGTATGACATTTAGTCATTGCTTCTGTTATCTTTATATATCTTGGCTTACAAACTTCTAATAGGATAAGGACAGTTCTCAAAAAGATGTCCTAACATGGCTTCATGTGCAAGAACGTACTTTATGGTGATAATGTGTTTGATACCAAAATGAAGCCTCACGGTAGGTATGAGTTGAGTCTTTGGCCACCCTCACCTCATTCTCAATGTTTTATATAGATAATAAGTTTTTGAGTCTAAAGCTGGAGAAAGAAAGCCTAATCATTGAGAAAATCTACCTTCACAAAATTTGAGAGTTGGAAGGGACTTCAGCGGTCTTTGAGTGCAACACATACGTATAGATACCTCTGTAATAATTCCAACATGGGATCATCTATTTGAAGACTTACAATTAGGGGGAACCCATTACCATCTGAAACAGTCTACTACACTTTCATTTAGCTCTGATCATTAGGAATTTATTTTTAAACAAGCTTATGTCTAGCTTCCTGAAATTTTCATCCATTGCTCATAACGCTGCCTGCCAAGTCCAAGCAGAACAAATGTAATCCCTCTCCCACAGTGTTCCCTAAAGCCCCATTTCCTTCAAGTTATCCTCATAAGGCAAGGGCTTATGTCCTCCACTATCCTGATTGCCCTCCTCTGGACACTTCAGCTTGTCAATACCTTTTCTAAAATGTGGTGCCCAAAACTAAACACAATACTCTATATGTTGTTTGACAGGGGAAAATAGAGGAGGACCATTAACCATCATTCATTGTCTTGATACTTTCTTTTTCTTACTGTAGTCTAAGATCACTTTTTTTTCTTTTTTAACTGCCAGGTTACACTGCTAACTCATACTGAGTTTGCGTTCCACTAAATGCTCCAGACCTTTTTCACATGAACTTCAGTCTATCTATTTTTCTCTTGTCTTATCTTTATGAAATGATTCTTTGAATCCAAGTGTAAGACTTGTTTTATTAAAAACTATTATATGTTTAACTTTTCATTTTGGTATCAAACATATTATTAAAACCAAAATGAGATTAATAGCATAGTTTTCTTGTATGTTGTTTCCCTGTATTTTTCATTTATTTATCCTCCCTCTGTTTATTAATTTATCAACAGGATAAAAATTAGAATAAAAGAACATAGTAATGATCATGCCAAGGGATCAACAGGTGAACAAATCAACACTAGTAGGCACAGACATATAATTTTTATAATCCCTTTTCGAGGAGTCACTGAGAGTTAGTCCTTGCACGTGAGTTTGAGCTATGTTATTTCCAAAGGACCTACTCAACTCATAGCTACTGAAGAAGAGGGAGAATCTGACAGTGACTATGGAGAACTAAGAGTAATATATCACCACCTCCAGGAGCATGCATTGTAGAGAGAGGATTGAAGTAGATGAGGATGAGTGACCAGGAATGACTGAAAAGTGGCTTGGGGTGGCAGGGGAGAGAGTGAAGCTGATCTTTGGTAAACTAAGATTTAGTATCACAGGGCTGAGGAGAAAAAAGGGGGTGGGGTGGGAGATTGTTCACTGCTAAGGAATGAATCCAGACAGAGAATCAGTTAATGGAAGGATCTCCCTGGATGAAGACAGGTAAGAGGTAATTAAATTTGTGTGTGTGTGTGCATGTGTGTATAAAATTCAACAATTTTTGGACATGACTGGGAAAGTGTTATGGATCCTTTATAGGGAGGTAGCAGAATATGTTTTTATTATAGAATATCTAACTGTATCATAATTAGAAATTTAAAGACATGAAAGACCAACTTACCCAATAGGCCTTGAAACCACAAGTTCCACTTGTGGCTCTGGTTTAGATTCTAGAATGATGTTGTAAACTTCCTCAAATGTAGCTCCCTGTAGTAGCCTTCCGTTCCATTCTAACACTTCATCACCTGTAGTTTGTGGCAGGAATAATCTTAGAAGGAAAAAGTAACCTCAAGAATTGAACTTAAAGCATAAATAATTCATAGATGCCACTGAACTACACAGGACAAAATGAAAACTATATAGAGAAAAAATATCGTAGAGCAGCTCCAGTGGCTTAAAACATGATGGGCCAAGAGAATTAGCATATTCATGAGCAAAAGATTTTGCTCATTTTAATATGAAATAAACAATAAAGGAAGATGAACATTATGATAAATTCATCTGTAATATCTGTGTAGTAACTATAGTTCTAGATTTCACAAAATCAAAATTGGTTGCTTGTATAAAGATTTCTGGTCTCTACATTTAAGTGCATGTATATGTATGTGTGTTTGTGTGTGTATAATACATATATATATAATGTATAACATGTGTATGTATATGTATGTATATACATACATATGTGCATATGTATGTACGTACATATTGTGTAGCTGATCCTCCTCTTCAAGAACTGAATTTGGGGATTTCTCACAAATTTTTATTTTTTTTTAACCATAAACTTGTTTCCTACCCTACAACATATTTATTTCCTCCCACAAATTAGAGTTTATAATAAAATATTATTATGAACTAAAGAGGAACAAGTATAAGATTAAAAAATTAAAAGTACTCTTATCAAGTGTGATTTAGTAAATGCTAGTAATAATCTCATTACTGATTGAAGATTTGTATGGAACATGAGTGAGCATTTCAGTACTAATCAGATCACATTCCAAAGTACTGTATTTTTCATATTTTTCAAGTTCAAGATCTCAAACACTCTAATGTAGAAACATACCTGGTCTAAGATGCCCCACAGTATCAGCTAAACTTCCTTTTTTAACTTTGGTGATAAATGCACAGAGTCGACCTGATTCAGTCATCTTTCCTCCTACAACCTGTTTGAAATAGGAAAGTTTTATAATAGGATTAATATTAGGATGAATAGTGTTGAAAATTCAAGTGAATGTCAATTAACTACTCTGTCTCTTCAAATGTAGCCTTTGAGTTAAATTAAATTTAAATTAAACAGGGCAGAAAGTAGGCACAATGGATAGAGCCCTAGGCTTGGAATTAGGAAGACTCATTTTCATGAGTTCAAATCTGGCATCAGATGCTAAGCATGCTGTGTGACCCTGGGCAAATCACTTAACCCAGTTTGTCTCAGTTCTTCATCTGTAAAATGAATTGGAGAAGGAAATGGCAAGCCACTCACCCCAGTATCTTTGCCAAGAAAACCCCTAATGGAATCAACAAAGAGATATAATGGAAAAACTGAATATCAACAACAAAGCTGTGTGGGACAAGTGAAAGTTTCTCATATGAAATGGAAGCTAAGCCCCAAAATTTAGTAAAGGCTTTAGCATTAGCTGGGCCCAAATTTTGTTTTCTTGTAAATCATGTGATTGGGTCATACATCTGTTGCCCACCCCCTTCCTTGTTTTGTTACCACCACCCCAGCCTTATCTTTACCAAATAAGGCAATCTTCTGGCTCCCAAGCTTGTTTTAGGTAAAATATATCTCTTAGTTTCTGGGTAGAATGTAAGGTCTCTTACTTCAATCAATGAGGATAAAGAGATTGAGGTAAACAAGTGTGTGTGTGTGTGGGGGGGTTACTTAGAGTTGTTTGTCTAAGGGCATGTAACTGCTTGCTTGCTGCTTGTATCTTGCCTCCCTACTGCAGTCCACCCTGGGTAGGTGATGCCCAATTCTTGTGCGAGACTTGCTAAAATAAAACTTCCGTTTCTACTGAGAGAAACCTCTGAATTTTTGTTTGGGTAAGTGGTCTGTATCCCACTCAAAGCTTTGAAAGTGTAATTTTATCTAAGAGATGCATTGTTATTTTTAAATTCAGTATTTCTGTTACCATCAGCCATTTTCATAAAGTACATTTTCTGTCCTTTGTGATTCAACTTCCTTCCCAAAGGATGTGCTCTACCTTTAAAGGAAAGAAATACCTAAGAAGACCCTGAGCTAATATGATTCCAGGCAGATAGATCTAATAAAGATCCTAAATGATTCAGGCCTATAGCCTACAGCCCACAGAAAGACAATGAAAGGGCTCTCCACACAACTCTATTCTTATATGATACACAGAACATAACCACTTGTGATGATGATGATGATGATGATGATGATTACTAATAAAAATTATAAGAGCAAATATTAATACAGTTTATTTTAAGTTAGTGCTCCTTAACCTGGTTCCCACTTGTTATGAATCACAACACCCTGGTGATGTTCCAGTGCATTCTGATTAAGCAATCCAAGGAGTCTAGTTGAGCAACCATCAACATCAGTGAGATTCTAACATTCTCTTTCATAGGCCGGCTCATAATCACCATTCAGACTCTATAGTTCTAAACCACTAACAACTAAATCCATATTGCTAACAAGATCTTTTTAATATCTGTTCCAGAGAGCTCCTGTGCTGTCACAGGTTAAGGAAACAGAGAAAATGGCTTTCAATTTGCTCTCATGCTTGTGTCTCCTCACTATCAAATGTTCATGTATCAGTCCCACTGCTGACATCAAATATAAGTCAATTTATATTTTCTGAAAAGCTTTACATATTTTTAAATGTTCTCAATCAATAACAACCTGTTAGAAAACTCTTAATTCAAATAAATGAAATGTTTACTTAAATGAATAGTAGTATACTTTTTAGAAATAATTACTCCTTACAAACATGTGTTGTATTTTAATGTACATTAGAAAAAGAAAAATACATCTCTAAGTGACCATGGATCCTTGCAAAGAAAATAGAGATAACAAAGATCATGAAATATTTTCAAATTTAACATAAAATGTATTGTTATATATAATTTTTTAAATTTTCTACTTTATTAGAACCCTTTTCAGTAATATAAACATAAAGTGCCTAAAATGGAGTTATGTAGTAAAAATTTTATTTATGACATTACCTGTTAGTTATTCTGAAACTAAAAATTGAGCTCTGAATCAAGTGAAAAGCATATGAATTAAAGAAACAATATAAAATGTAAAGAATTTATAAAATTATATTAACATATTGATACATAAAAGAATGCATCACCAAAATATTCAGACTTAGGTAAGCAACTTATGTCAAAAATAAATAACTTGTTCACTTTCAATATAAAGCATATTTTTAAAAATTGATATGCTTTAATAGTGTTTTAGTGAGCCATGTACATTAAAAGGCATGTAACCTTTTAAATGCTATCTCTGGCAAAAAGATTTTGAACAATAAAGGCAAATACATATGAACTACTTAAAACAAGGAAAATAAAACAACACAAATTGACATCTTTTATTTTTCTATTAACTCACTGAAAGAAAAGAGGCATCTCATGGAAAAGGGGCATCTCATTAAAGTAATGTATTTTATATTACTAACCTTCAGTCCAAGCATTGCTCCTGAATCTCTGGGGACACTTCCATCTTTCAGGCGCTTGTTTAATAAAATACAACCAATCAAACGGTCTCCATCCTTGGATGGCTGCCAAGTTACAGGGTGCTAGAATAATGCATTAAAATGTTAAAATTCTTTTAAGACAAAATCACATTCACATTTAATGTTTATTAAATTTCAAAATGTCATAAAAACCTTATGAGTGCACAAATACCATTTTAGTCTTAAAACAATAATAAAAATTTTCCACAACCTTCAATTTACTTAAAGATTGCATTGGAATAAAACCTCACAGTTTCCTGATTCTAAGTATGGATTATATAGAATGCTAATTTAAGACATTAAATAAATATATACATACATATATGTATATGATTCAATTAGATATTATAAAAAAGGTTAAAATTCACAAAAATGATGGGGGACCAAAGAAATTAAAATTGTTATAAGTATTTAAGTTTTATCTCTTGGAGCAACATTTTAAAAAATGTAAATAGCTTTGTTACTCTATGAATAATATGGGCAAATTGTTGTTAACAGAATACTATAATTCAAACCAATGCTAAGGGCAAAAATGTCTTCCTAGGTTCAAATACTGTGAATATATAAAAACAATACCCTGTATGAGATACTTTTTATTCTCCCTGACACAGAAGACACAAATTTAACAGTAAGACTGGAGTTAAGCACTAACTTTTCAAAAGTGCATTGATTCTTTCAGATCTCTGGATCCATTTGGTAAATTGCCTATTCCTATTCACTCAGTGATATCCAAGAATGTCCTGAAAGTGTTAATTGGCCTTCAAAACATTAGTAATTTATTTATTTCCTTTCTCAATAGCACAACTAGAGTTTTATGAATAATGTCCCCATACCATTATAGATTACATGATGAATAGCAAATCAGGTGTTTTGTGCAGTCATATTAGTTTCACAATTATCCAAAATGTTCATGCTCATCTTCATGCAAAATTAGCAGGCAAAAGACAAGGCCCCAACAGTTACATCCATGTGTTAAAAATGATAGACCCCAGTTCCTATCAAACTAAAAGCAAAAGTAACAAATACCAAAGCAGGTAGCAATGGTTCTAGCACTAAATAAGGCTGCACAAAAAAAAAAAAATGCCATGGCAATTAAATAAAAGAACAAAATGACAGTGAAAGGGAAAAAAGAAAAACAACTTTTTATGCAAATTTCTCCCTTTTATACCTGGGATTCAAACTATTAATAATTTAAATTCATCCCAAGGAACATATGAATAATCAAATAAGCCAATCAAAAATTTTTTTTTTTTTTTTCTTTTTTGACTTTGTATGTTATAGTAACCATATGAATTCCTTTCATTCAATCGGACCATAAGACCATCCTTTTGTTCCTGTTTTGGTTTGGTTTGGTTTGGTTCTTGTGCTGCCAAATGGTGGGGGGGGGAAAAAACAGCCAAGCAAGCAGGAGTTTTTGGTTTTGTTTTTCTTTTCTGCACCTTAAGAAATACTACATTGTCTCTGAAACCACCCCATCTTTTATATTATGTACTGTTTTAATGAGTGACAGAGAGCAAACGAAGACCAAAATGAGCAAGTTAAAAGGCAGGCTTCACAATTTCAGTCAGTACCTTATCGCTATGGCTATGCTCCTCGTTTAGAGTCGTGCTACTACACGTATCTACCCCAGAGTCCTTAATCTGAGGCTCAGACCATTCCAAGTCCTCTTCCAAAGAGTGGCCACCAAAGGACACCATTTTCTTTTGTCTCTCAGACCTGGTGTTAGAGTCCGACAAAACTGCCTGCTCACTAGTTTTTCTTTTTCCCTTTTGACTGTCCCCTAAAAGGTGTGGGATAAAAAAAAAGGAAACAAAAAAAGAAAACATGCAAAGGTGTAAATAAAACAAAGGAAAAGTGAAATGATAAAGGAAACAAATGGTAAGGCTCCACATGTCTCACCAAAGACATTGGGGATGCCTCACTGCTATGCCAAGACGTATGGTCCAACCAGTTGTAATCCATGTCTCCTGTGAGAGTCAGACAGACAAGAGAGTGAAATAAAGGAAAAGGTGAAAGGACAGACAAAGACATAATAAACACTTTAAAGTTCATGTAATACTATCCGATTTTAGACTTTCTCTGTAGCACTCATTATAGCTACCAAGAGAAAGCAAAGACTACAGAGGAATGAAATACATGAAATGTAAACTGTGATGTATGTCTTTAATCTAGTCAGAACACTGCTCTATACATCTAAAGTTTTTCTTTAAAGAGAAAATGTCCTATATATATGTAACATATAGCATTAATGAATTTCAAAATAAGAATAATCATAGACTGAAACTATATAAGCCAAATACTTTGACAAAGGGGGAAAAGGCAGCTTAGTTTATTACTTAGGATTTTTTCATATTAGCCTATGAAAGTTTTTATGTTCCAGAAGTTATTATAGACCATTTTCAGAATTAAATAATGGCTTACTTATGACAAAATATTTAAGTAATCAAATGTTTTGACCCATTGTGTAATTTTAGTTTAATATAATGTTGATAAACATGTCAAGAGATCCTAGGCGTTTAGAAAGTAGAAAGAATTGATGACATGGAAGATGAACTCTCTGTGAAATTCAGTCATATATATAAGATTAATCAATTTTGTTGGTAAACTTAAAGTGAACTTAAAATATGGACCTATTGAGCAGTTGCTATGGTATACTTTTAAACATTTTCTCTATAAGACAAGTCTTTTGTTCATATGTCTTGAAAAGAATTTTAACTTTACGTTATATTTAAATCATATACTCCAGAGGATTTATGTAATGATAAGCTTAAAAAGAAATACTTGTGTTATATATATTCATTTTTTCACTTAATTTACTTTTACTCTAAACATACACAATTTTTAATAACTGTCTCCATTTTTACCACCCATTCTCGCTCTTAGATTTAAAAAATTATTCTTTGGTTTTTTTCCATTCAATATTTAAATGCCTTCTAAAGCAGAAAAATTACAACATGTGTACATATACTCCAGTTCTTTAATTTTTGAATGGAAGAACAGAATACCATAAAACTGTTTAGGAAAACCCCTTGTCTACAATGTGGGAAACATGAGTAAATTCATTAAGATTGTCTTCTATTTCACTTCCCCTCAATCCTATTGCCTTACCATGAGCAGAAGAAAAAGAGATCTATGTCCTGTAGAGTTTCAGGGGCCTGGGCTTATTTAGTTTACATAACTGAAATAGGACACTTTTTTTTAGAATGAAAGAAGCTGAATTTTGCCTTCATTTATCAGCATCCATACATTTGTTTCTTTTTATTTCTTATGCCAGACAATATAAAGAGTACATAATAAAAAAAAAAGATAAAGACAAAAACAGTAACAGGCTCAATAATAGAATTCTAACTTTAGCCTGAACATTTCTCTTTTAATATTTCTGTTAAAGTTATACAAGCCAACTTATTGGGCTGTAACAAAAGTTCTCTCTCACTGATTGAATTTTATATCAGTTGTTTTAAGATCATATAAGTAGCTGCCCAAAAATTCCCAGAGCTTTTTAAAAAAAAAGTCTATTTTGCAAGTTGTAGGTAATTAAGGTTTTCCTTGAAAATTACATATTTAGTGTAATTGTTTATTTGAATTTGTGGTGTTATTAAGTTTATAAAAAAACCTCAAAATATCACATATTATACCTAAGTATGGAAGTTATAGGCATTGATTATAAGGAATTATAAAGTTTTATATTTTAGATTATTTAGAAAAATAAATAGGAAGAGAAATATAATAAAACATGGCACTCATATTACTTTAAAATGTGTAGAACATTCGCATTTATTATCTCCTTTGATCCTCACAATAACCTTATGTATACAGTATGTTACAACTATTTTACCAGTGCAGAAACAGATTATGAGCTAAAGTGGCTTGCACATGTTGCAAAGATGATAAATAAAGTGATAGAGCCAGCGACTGCCCCCAAGGTCTCAGGCTCCCAATCAATGTAGGGCTTTTTTCCCCCAATTTGAAATTTCTATTGTAACTTTTAGTAGACAAGCATGTATTGTAAAAACTTCTAATTCTGTATCTTTACCAGCATTATTTTGATTATGACTTTCATTTAAACATGTGGGCTACATTTAGGGGGCCAGATTATATAGGCATGGAAACACAATATGAGTGAGCAATTTTAGGACAAACTACGTGATTGTTAGAGACAGGAGCAAGTAGAAAGTGGATCAAAGCCTGGGTCACTTGTTGCTGACCACATATATGAAAAAGAGACCAGAATCTGAAACAAAGGATTGAGTGTGAGAATAAATGCCTTTAGGCATTACTTACTGTTCTGTGTTCCAAAAGAGTTCCCTCAAAAAGGAAAATTTTCCTTCTTAAAAGACAAGTTGCCCTCAGCTAAGACTAGGAACTGAGACTTCCTTGTCTAGAGAAAGAGGAAAGCAGGAGAGGGGTTTTCCTGATATTTACATATCTGAGTAGGTATGTAAAAGATGCTTGCCCCTAAAAAAGTGCAGAACTTCGAGTCTCTGGCATCTAAGCTAAAGGTTAAGCCCATTCTTCCTCTTATCCTCTGAAAGAGAAAGAGAGAAAAGAAGAAAGAGAGAGTTCCTCAGCTGAGGACTCTAGTTCAAATCAGAAGCTAGAAACAGAAGGGAAGTTCACTAACCAAGGCTCTAGTGGAAGCCAAGACTGCCCAGCAGTCACCTTGGAATCAACAGATAGAAGCAAATCTCAGCAGAGACCAGCTAGACAAGGAAAGCAGGGGAAGCATAATGTCAGGATCAGAAAACAGTGACAGCCCTGCAGTTTCGTAGTTAGGACTTGCTCCTCTATGCAAGTACTCTGGCTACCTACATGTGTTCCTCTCCATGTGTATTCTCCAGATGTGTCCAGAGAGCTCTTATGCTACAATAGGATAAAAGAAGAGAGAGAAAGAAAGAGAGAGAGAGGGAGAGAGAGAGAGAGGGAGAGAGAGAGAGAGAGAGAGAGAGAGAGAGAGAGAGAGAGAGAGAGAGAGAGAGAGAGAGAGAGAGAGAGAGAGAGAATGTACCCCAAGTTTAGGGGGGGAAATGTTCTACTATATATTTTGTTTATAACATCATAATTTTTGAGTATGTCTCTAACCCAGGTGAGGAACCTGTGCCCTTTAGCCTTTGAAATCTGTTTGGATTCAATCAAAGGGCTGTGCTTGAGGACCTAGAGGGCCATGTGTGGCCTGAAGGCCACAGTTTCCCTACCTCTGCTCTAACTCCTTCAATTCCAAGGAAGACTTCCCTTATTACAGGGACTAGAAAAGGAGGGTAAAGTAGTTTAGAAAACTAAACATGTTAGTGGACACTAACAACGTATGCATTGTTCCTCACTCATAATCTCTCACTGCATTTACCCAACTCTTATTCAGATGTGAGCTTAGTCATCATATATTTATTTTAATTTTTTGTTATTTGCATTTACATGATTGTAGTCATAGAGATATAAACACACACACATATATACATATACATACATACACACATGGTTTCCATGCTTCTCCTTAGTTCACTCTCCATCAGTTCTTATACTAATGGAAAAGAACTGGAGACAAATTTTATTAGCATCATTTTGGAATGGCTTAAAATTGAGGTAGAAGAATGGAATGAAATATTACTAAGCTTTAAGAAATAATGAATGTGATAAATCACAGAGAAACATTTAGAAGATTAGTATGAGAAAAGGGAAAAGGACTTATTTGTGCAAAAATATAACAGCTTTTTCTGTGGTGGCAAAGAATTGGAAATTGATAGGATTCTCATCAATTGGGGAATTGCTGAACAAGTTGTACTATGTGATTATGATGGAATACTATTGTGCTAGAAGAAATGACAAAGAGGATGGTTTCAGAAAAATCTGGGAAGACCTTACTGATGCAAAGTGAAATGGTCAGAATCAGAACATTCTACATAGTAACAGCAATATAGTAATGATGATCAGCTGTGAAAGACTTAGCTATTCTGATCAAGACAGTAATCCAAGACAGTTCCAAAGAACCCATGCTGAAAAATGCTGTCCATCTCCACAGAAAGAACCGATGAACTTTGAGTGCATATGGAAGCATACTTTTTAAAAACTTCGTTTTTCTTTTTTTTTTTTTGTCTGATTCATTTTACAACATGGCTAATATGGAAACATTTTATATAAGAGTTGTATGAACTGGTAGAAAGTAAGCAAGCAGAATCAGGAAACATATAAAAATGACTACAACTGTGGATATGAAAAAAACAACAATGGATCTGTGATTTTATTGGTATAGAGAACTCTCAGATTAGGAAAATTCCTCTAATAATACAAGCAACTTTTAATACAGCATACAGTTTTTAATACAGTAATAATACAGCAACTCTTCTGCAACTTGGAAGCTTAAGCATTGCCTTGATCCCTCAGAGATTAAGGGTCACAGCACCAGTATGTGACAGAGGTGGGACTGAACAAGGACTTCTTATCTTTGAGGCTTGCTAACTATCCATTACACCACACTACCTCCTTCCTCCAGCTTTCCTTTGCCCTCACCCTCATCCTATCTCTCGTTATTGATGTCAGTATCTATTTGTGCATAGATATGTGCATATGTATATATATTTACTTCTAAAATCTCTACTAACAGTTTTAATAACATTTGCATATTGAAATATTTGTTTGTTGAGAACCATAAAGCTCACAATAGCAATATGTAATTTTAAAAATCACAGGGCCAACCTATGAGCCAAATAAGAGATGTGAAAATGTATATCCTTTCTTTGCAATGATGGGGTACTATGAGTGTAGAACACTGAATGTAATGTAGAACTT